AATCCTTAAATAGAAATATCTCTACGAAATCAAAATATCACCATTTTTTGTGTAATTACTAGCCGAATTTATAATAATCTATAATAATATTATAAATGCGAAAGTTTGTGAGGATGTACGGATGTTTGTTACCCTTTCACGCATAAACTACTGATGTGATTTTAATGAAACCTTACACTAATATAGTTCGTACATCAGAATAACACATAGGCTACTTTTGATAACTGAAAAATGTACGATTCCCGTGAAATAGATTTGTTTTTGTTCGATATTAATAAAAAATACAAAGAATTTTGTTGTCAAATCTATTATAAGTAATGTTACTTGAAAATATTTGGTGTATAATATACATAAGTATTGGGTTTAAAACGATAACATGTCTTAAACTAAAATATCAAGGAATGCAGTAAAGCTAAGCAAGCTACATGTTTTTCTGATTCCCTTGAATTTACCTACAAGTAATTTATTACATTTGCTTATAGAAACTGAAAAAATTCAAATAGATCTGAAAATTCGTCTTTTTATTTTCCCTACAATTTTCAGTTAAAGTATAAAATTACACAATTTCATATTATGGACATTGTACAGTTACAATTTACTCCTGAAAGAAGTAAAACTTTCACGACCTTCTTAGATAAATAAGCTTTGACCATTACAGTATATTCAACGAATACATATGTACCTAACTTTTCTTAGTTTCAATACAAAATTTAAACAATCAATCCATTGAATATCGCAAAAGCAAAACGGATATGTGGGAGTGAGCAAGCACTATGGCGGATCGGAATCTTGAATTTTTGGCACCGAAAATAGTGCGGGCGGGCGGCGCGAGCGCAGGGCGGGCGCAGTGCGTGTCGCTCCGCCGTGTCAACCGCCCGCTAGGTGAGTTCCCACGATAGTCTGAAACTACCCCCTATTGGAGGGCGAATATTCAAAATCTTCAAAAATTATAAGGGTGAAAGTGCAGTGCAGTGGTGTATTCATAGTGTTTCGCTTTAAGTTTTATTCATGTGTGGAGCTTAGACGCGCTCGCTCTGACTCGGGTTTCATCGCGTGCGCGCCCTCGCTGAAAATAGTGCTGTAGCACCTATTTGCGGACGAGTATTTATTTAGCGATATGAGGAAACTCGCCTTGATTTTTATTTAGACGTGTCCCGTTTATCATAGAATTGGGACGCCTTAAAAGTTAATCGGGTGTCTTATTTCGGAGCAACGTCTACGAGCCACATTTAGAAATGAATGCTACGCTATATTGTACGCACATTAAACACCCACACACATCGATCGTTATTCTGTAACATTATTCTTTCGGTACATATATAGATTTACACGAACACAATCTGAAATATAATAACAATATTTTAGTAAAATTAGTTTCAACTTTCCACACATTTAATATATGTTTAAGTACGTAATTAAACTATAATAAAAGTTTTTTTTTTTACACTAAGTCTCTAACTTTACTCAGAGCTAAACATTAGTAAGAAAATTACTTAGAGGTAACTACATTATGATTTTTACTAGAAAACTTCATTATAATTTTTTACAAGAAAAGTTTTCGCTCCCCCAATTTATTACGGATTTTTAGAGTCGCTGAGATCAATCCACATAAGTTTGGCATCCTGTCAAAATCAATTCAGGAAATATAAAATTAAATAATATGAACATGTGAATTTATGCGCCAATCATAAAAAAAATTTTTTAATGAAAATTAACTTTTTTAATTAGACTTATTCAAACACTTTTGAATTGAAAAAATGCTTAGTTTATATAAACTCATATGAGTATGAGTGAGAGTGAGTATATCCAAACATTAGAATACTTACCTATTATATAATTAATTATTTATGGTAATTATTGACTATTTATTATAGTATATAAATAATATTTTATATTTATAAATATTATATTAGATACCAATTTTATAAATCCTATTGAATTTATGTAAACATTCCATCAAAAATAGACTGCATTGATTTAAATAAAACGCTATAATATTTTGAAATTTTAAAGTAACGTCAAAACTATATGAATTTTAAAAATAGACTAATCAAATATCTCAGAGCTCATAATATTAAAAAAAAAATGAAAGAAAGTAGTTAAATTTAACCTAAATATAACTTATTTCAATGCAATTTTTTATGCTTTATATATTAGTTTTTAGATAACATCAACATGGCGTATATAAAACGCGAGCCTTAGCCTTGAACGTCAATAGTTATAAACATGACCTTATTTGTAAATTCTCTTAAAACACGCAAAGCATTTGTTTCAATATTCTAGTTAAATACTTATTTAAAAAAAAATGATTTTCTAGTTCAATTATATGATACGGATACAATACCTATTAGAACAGTGTAAAAGAAAAAGTACACGAATTAATTTTTCAAATAAGCTGAATGAAAAATCATTTTGAGTGTGTAGTCCCACTGCTGGGCACGGGCGTCCCTTCAATGCGAAGGGAGTCAGGCCATAGTCCACAACGCTGGCCAAGTGCGGGTTGGCGGACTTCACATGTCTTTCGAAAACTTGCTAGGTTCTCTTAGACATGCAAGTTTCCTCACGATGTTTTCCTTCACCGTAACACAAGTGGTAATCAATCACGTTGGAAATGATTCTTACATCTAAATATCAGAGGTGCTAAACCCAGGTTTTGAGGCTGGGCTACCACTGCGTTTTTGAGTAGTTTGACATTTGGCAATAATTTGATAATTTTCTCTAGTTTTTAGTTTTTAGTTGTTCTCTAAAATAACTCTAAAATCACGGAGACCTATTAGACATTCCATCGGTGGTAAATCTTAAACCTATAAATTTTAAAGACGTGTACCAGCTGTTCGCGGGAATATTTCGGCTAACAATATCGGTAACACTTGACAGCCAGCCAAAAATACACCACTGCTTGTTATTTTCGCAATCTCCAGATACAGAATGCCCGGTTTTTTAATAAGTTTTACGAATGAGTTTAACGATGCCCGGAACTTATATTTAAAGATTTTAAGACATTTCGTACATCTAACAGATGTCCTAATTGGATAAACGATCTAATTCATACGTTATTTACGTAAAAATATTACATACTTTTAATTACTTCAAAAAGTTAATTGTACGACCACAGTAATACTTAATTATTTAACTTTTAGTTTTCCATGAAAAGTTTTAGAAATTTAACAAAATGTATCAAACAAGAATTGTGTGATTAAATTAAAATTTTGAAAATCCTTAACGTTAAAGCAGTAACATAAAATATTTTTTTCTCTGACTTTGCACTACACAATTCTACATTTATTTATATAAAAATATGAACATCCATAAAAATCTTTTAACAGTATAGACCGTTGAAAAATTATTACTTTTTTATCATTATGATTTCTAAAAATATAGGAAATATAGGTTACAGATTACTATCATGAACATTAAACTGGCGATTAAAGTTAAACGTGTAGCCTGCATTCGAGAGCTGGCGCGTAGCCAAGTGTGAGGCACGATGTAAAATTAAATTGCTCGAATCTTATATACTAATCTTCCAAAAGTTTCTACCACTAATCTATAAGACATAAATACATAGAAATATTTGTATTTAGTAATAGTGACTTACCCACGCTTCGCTCGGACGCGTCCCTAAGTACGTTTTAAATAGATATGAATAGTTATTGCAAATATACCTTAGGAGAAAGACTTATGCTATTGCAGATTTTTCTGTAGGCTTTATTAAGACCTACAATTTTCTAGTACATTATTTTGATGTATCTCTTAAGGTTTAGCCTGAGTTAGACGTGTAAATTTCTAAGAACGATTCGATCGAACCAATTATTGTGTTTTCCCGTGGGAATGAAAGATTTTCTTGTAGTAAAAGGTATCCTCAATGTTGACCCGAGTAATAAGTTATCACTACATTAAATATAGTTAATATCGGTTCAGTACTTTTTGCGTGAAAGTCTAACATTTCGTTAAGTTACTGTTTTATTAGGTGTATATGTATAGATTAGTATTGGCATTTGGCATCGGCTTTCCTCTACCAAGCTGAATATAAAAGTTCTAATGCTACGTTTTTGTCGTTAGAAGTAAACCAGAACAAACACTACACATACCTACAATACACGTCATTTAAAAATTTAACTCGTTATCATTAACGTGGAAACAGTCAATCGAATATGTAAAGGAAAAATATAATCCATAGGACTAATATTAAGAGGTAAAGTTTGTGAGATTGTGAGTTTGTGACGTTGTAGGGGGTAATCTCTGGATCTACTGAACTGATTGAGATGAAATTTGGTAAGAAGATAGTTGGAAACCCTGGAAAGGACATAGGATACTTTTTATCCCGGCAATCATCCTTGAAGGGAAGAAAAACGGGATAAAAGTTTGTATGGGAAATCAAGCTGTCGCTAGTGTCTTATAAAGCAACATAGTATTAAGCAGTTGACTATATATGTACATGTAGCAAGACTCGCAGCAAGCATAAAATATGTAGGTATGGCTGCATAATACTATGTCTTTTTGTCAACTTGTTTTTTTTATTACTCATTCGCCATTATTAACTTTAGCTAATCTTGTTTTAACATTATTTTTAAATCTATATACTGATATTTTATGGCCACTACATTATATTAGTTGCTACACAGTAGATAAGTACACTAATAAAGATCAATAAATTCAACAATCAAGTATAGTTATATTAATTATATATATTTGATGTTAATAATAAAAGCCTGCAGCGCATCTAAAATATTAAATTATATATTAAGGTCACAAAATTTTAACCTTGAATTATTTTTAATAGGGTAAAATTTTTAGTCGTGTTGTAATTTAATCCCTCCACTAACGCGGACACGCGTTACAGTTAACAATAGATTATTTCTTAGAAATTTAATAATTTTTTTAGAAATGTACCTGGAGGTTTTAACGACCTACAATAATATTAATAATAATTTTTTTGTAATTTGCAGGCCAGTAGTGGCATATTTTATTTGACCGGACCGTAACAACACAAAGCCGCCAACATGGACGCGATTAAGAAGAAGATGCAGGCGATGAAGCTGGAGAAGGACAATGCCATGGACAAGGCAGATACCTGCGAACTGCAGGCCAGGGATGCCAACCTCCGTGCTGAGAAGGTATGCAATGTGGTTTATTATCTTACTTAATTTTCTCATTTTTTGTAAGTAAATATCAGTTTTTTTGAGACAGTCACGTTTAATATATAAAAGTAAATATTATTGAATGTTTTTTTTATTTCTTTTATTTTTCTACATATAAAATAATTATTCTATAAAAATGATGTTCAAAATACAAGAAACTACCATTTCCTATTACAGGTAAACGAGGAAGTCCGTGAGCTCCAGAAGAAACTTGCCCAAGTTGAGGAAGACCTTGTCCTCAACAAGAACAAGTTGGAACAGGCCAACAAAGACTTAGAAGAGAAAGAGAAGCAGTTGGCTGCTACCGAGGCGGAGGTGGCCTCACTCAACAGGAAGGTACAACAGATTGAAGAGGACCTCGAGAAATCCGAGGAAAGGTCTGGCACTGCCCAGCAGAAACTGCTTGAAGCTCAACAGGCTGCTGATGAGAACAACCGGTAATATCCTCCTCTATACTCTTTATAATGAATTTCTTTAAAGTATACATATTTTTACTTAAATAAAATATATTCTAGAGGGTTTTGGCGTTTAAGTTTATAACGTAAAATTAAATAAGCGATCTTTTAATTTGTTATCAAAATAATATTCGTTTTTCGATTTTTATTTTAACATTAAAATTTATTTTTTAGTATGTGCAAAGTATTGGAGAACAGAGCACAACAAGATGAAGAACGTATGGACCAACTCACCAACCAACTGAAGGAAGCTCGTCTGCTTGCTGAAGACGCTGACGGCAAATCTGACGAGGTAATTATTATTAATATTTAATTCTATACAAAATATCTTTACTATTTACAATTAGCAAACTATAATATTATTAATAAAATAATAATTAAACGTGTTTGTTACTGTATAATAACACTTTGCTATTTAAATCCCAGGTATCCCGTAAGCTGGCCTTCGTTGAAGACGAACTCGAAGTCGCTGAAGACCGTGTCAAGTCTGGTGACGCCAAAATCTCAGAACTTGAGGAGGAATTAAAGGTAACAATTTAAAACTTAAATGTTTTATGAAATTATTGTTTATCAACATTTAAAGACATATGAAAATAGGGATTTAAAATAACATATTTTGTATCATACATAGGTCGTAGGTAACTCCCTTAAATCATTGGAAGTATCCGAAGAGAAGGCCAATCAGCGTGTAGAAGAATTCAAGAAGCAACTGAAGACCCTCACCATCAAGCTGAAGGAAGCCGAGGCTCGTGCCGAGTATGCCGAGAAGACTGTCAAGAAATTGCAGAAGGAAGTCGATAGGCTCGAAGGTAACATACTAAACCAAATAACAAACATAAAACCTAATTTAGCGTGTGCTTACGTTTTTCTTTGTAGCACACGTTTTAATTTATAATAAAAAAGTACGAAATTAAATAACAAAATTTCAAACATTATGTTTTTCTACGATCTTCTTTAACGTGTTGTTTATTTGGCCTTAATAATTATGAACATAAATTTTAATTCTATAAATATGAATCTAATGTTTTTCCAAATTCACTAAAATCAACAATTCAACACTAATTCTAACAATAAATAATAAAAGAATGCTATAACTTCTTAAAAACGCAAAGCTTTAATTAAAATAAGTCAACTCTAATAAATAATATTTCCTTCTTCTATTCTTATCAAATTTCCAGGTGAGTGCTGAGCACTAATTTTTTCTAATAACAAAATTTTCCAGACTTATTGTTCAACGAGAAGGAGAAATACAAGGCGATTTGCGATGACTTGGATGGCACATTCGCCGAGCTCACCGGATACTAATCTAACCCTAGCATATAGTATAAGACAATACCGTCCCAACATTACCCATTACATCCAAACCATCCTCATATATAAATTTACCATATTTGATCTGTTCAATTTAAGGTTATCTGCGACTGATCATTTGATAGGTCATTTAATCTTCTTAAGACCTCTATCTTCTAACCTCTGTCTACGATCGCTTTAAATTTCTATTTCAAACTAATAAACCCTAACCTTCTGTTCGATGTTTAGAGGATTGTCAGCATTAATAATTATGTAGCCAACAAAAATATTTATGGCTTGTTTTTAGAGTTTAGACAATCCTTTAGAAATCGTAGTTTCTACCTTCCTTGCTTTTTGTGTTGTGATTAACGTCTTATGCTTTGCTGCTACCGTCGTGGGTCAGTGCTTCCAAGGTACTTTTTTCTTTAATCTCTTAAATCATCTTTATAAAATATATCTTAAAGCTATTCCATGCCTGCGTCATAATTATATTTGTTAAAAAATGTGCACTTATTTTAACTAATTAATATATTTTTCATGTTATGATCGTTTTAATAGGTAGGTCAACACAACGGATTGATACTACTCTTCAATCGTATTGCGTTTTATTTGTACCTTTGATAATAAAACCTGCATTTAAAGAGATCCCTTTTACAAAGAAAGTTGTCTAAACATCTTACCGATTTGGTCATCAAATATCAATTGACTAAAGGCAACTGTCTCTCCCATACTTAAGATTGTTTTTTCCCATTTGTATTATAAACTTCAGTGAGATTGCTTTAATAGTAGCAATGAGCAAAATTTTTTATGTCTTGTTAATATTAATATGTGTTGTACAGACGAGTTGGGCATCAACAAGGATAGATACAAGAGCTTGGCCGACGAGATGGACTCCACCTTCGCCGAACTTGCTGGCTACTAAGCACATTCACATACATTCATCTCAAAGGCAGTGTCACCGCCGATACTACGATACACTTTGTACTCGTGATGTAATATTTAATATAATATGTAAATTTATTTACGATTTTCAATAAAATTATTTATAACAACAGCAAATATGTTTCGTTTGCAATCATTGAATCTCTCTTTTTATACTGTACTAGCATTGCCCGCGGCTACGCCCGCGTTCAGATGACAAAAAACCAAATTCTTAGGTTTTACATATTAGTATATTCTTACAATGCAGTTTTTGTATTTTTTCTCAGAAATGATATATTTTCCCGCGGTAAAAAGTATATCCTATATGTTGACCCAGCTATCATCATACCAAATTTCATCAAAATCTGTCTAGTGGTGTTTTCGAGATGCGGTAACAGACAGACAGACAGATTAGATTCGGCCTCTGTATGGATAATAATGTCTATTTCAATAAGATTTTCCAAAAAATATTTCATGTACAGATTCGACTTAGTTACGATTTTATTATATGTATAAATAAAGCCTTACATAAATAATTATATTTGATTCTCTTTTGCTTTTCTTACGAATTTTGTAAATATAAAATTGCTGTATTTTTGTCAAACCCATATTTTAATACAATAATAATACGCATAATAATATTTAATATAAATAATAAATATTGGAGTAAAATAAGATTTATTTTGACACAACACAAATGTTATAATATCATTGTTGATAATCATTTTAATTTATAATAATTTTAAATCTATTTAATTAAATTATTTTCACGCCTATCATAAGTCGTGATGCACATATATAAAAATAAAATTTTAGTAATTTATCGTACTAACGCTTAATTCTAATGCCAATTCAACTGAATTTTATGGATTTCAATCATACCAGGTGGGTACAGTTTCCTTCGCGCTTTTAATGTAAAAAAAAAAACGGAAGAGCATTCTTCCAATGTCAGTTCTGTCAAATGACGTCTTTCCTTTAAAAAAGGCGGGAAAAGCGCATGCGTGGTGTCACTCACAGCACGCCTGCGCGGGTACCCTCGAACTTAATCGATAGTGCAGTACAGAATACAGACAACAGCCTGTTGGGTGAAACTTATTTTGCGTGCTAAAATCGAAAACACGGTTCCCATTCTCGTTATAATTAAGGCGTCAAGGTGTCGGTGTCAAGTAGCGTCCTTCCAGGGGCCATCACCATGAAGAGGCTGACGTCTCACGACGTTGATATATCTCCTATAGAGTCCCGTAAGTCATTTTTGAAATATATATATATGTATTTATTAATAGTATTTTATATTGATATTATATAAATAGAATAGCTGCAAGTATATAAACTGTCTTCTAATGGAATAATTTTAATTAATAGAGTTATTAACAAAATTAATTTATTGGTTTTCATTTCGATGATGACGCGCAATTGTAGTGTAATATATGTATGGATACTTCGTTATACGCCAACTATATCTTTTATTATTTTGGATAGAATATCGAAGTCTGGTTTATGCCAAAAATCTTGTTACATTTAAATTCCTTGTAATGAATTGTGTTTTTACATGAAAGCTAAAATGTAATGATCTGTTCTCTTTCCTCAGCGCAGTCAATCTATATTATATCTATACGTATGTATGGCAATACATTTTGGATTATATTGACAATATTGAAATAAAAATGCCTTTTTGTTAGTTAAAAACTTTAAAAATTTGCAAAAATTTAAAATCATTTTATTTCTATTTACATACATAATATGTACTACAATTTTTCAACATTGTTAGAAGTTTAATCAAACATCTATTAATTGCTTCGATGTATCGATGTAAATGGGTGGTCAGTTTACGTCATTTCATAGATAGGGTACTGAGAACCTCATGAGGAATCCTATAACTTACTTAAAGTAAATAAAATAAATGAAAATATATTAGATATGTAACCTTTTTGCTTTTAAAAATGTAGCAATACCAATGATTATATATCAACAATTAATTATTTATGTAATTATTATTATAAAAGAGTCTTATCATGCAAGTTTATCTGATTGAGATAGCTTGAATTTTCGGCCTTATCTTTCGGATCAATTAAAGCTGTCTATACAAGTGCTTGGACACCACTAGTAACATATTTATAGAAAGAAAGTTTTGTACTGTGACTTAAATATAAGAGTTTTAACATTTTAATAGATTAAAAACTTACATAAGCCTGCATAGTATATCAGATCAACTTTTGAAGTACCTAGGTCTATGTTAGTAAAGCTATGAGTATAAATATGCAATAAAGAAACTGATGGCAACATAATGGACTGTACGCATATTTCTATGAAGGTATGATGATGTTCTCCTAGCCTATTCCGGCTACGGCGGCCAATCTCATTGAGATTAGCCAACTGCGCAGGAGATATTATAGTGCACAAGTGTACGCGCAGACACAACGTGCTCTCTATTCCTGTCACTCTCATACTCCGGTGGGACCACCACTCGACACGACCAGTGAGAGTTAAGGCGCAGGACCGACGGCTTTACGTGCTCTCCGAGGCACGGGGGTGAAACACCGCCAACTTCCCAAATCCGGGCTGAGACTTACTTTACAGAAAGACTCAATAACTAAACTTGGCCCGATCCGGGACTCAAACCCAGGACCTCCGGGTGTGCAGTCATACATGCTAGCCACTACACCACCGAGGCAGTTAAATATAAATAAGTTAAGGTATAAATATTAAATACATAAGGTTCTTATGCTGGAAAGTAGTAAAGAAATCAAAAATATTTTATTAAAAACAAATTTCTTTATCATAAAATTCCTCATAAATAATCAAATATGAAATTAAAATATTTATTTACTTTTATATTTCTACGAATTGCTAAAAACCACGATTAAAATGGCTCCACAGTCCTCGAATATGTGAAAAGAGTTAAAATTCGGAGTTTTTTTTTTCATCTGCTTACGAACTGGGCAACTCACATAATGACTATTTCAGTTCGCTAACATAGTCCATAAGAGTTGTTGAATTGGATGGACTTGGATATATTTTTTTAAATTTCTTTCCATGGGAATAGAATATTATATATTGATTTTCGTCAACAATCTTTATGATATTTTTCTATTTGATTTTTACTAAACTGTAACCAGAATTAAACTAAAAAAAATATTCTAAGTCAGAGAAGCCCAAGATATTTTAAAAAATGGTTACAAAAAAGTTGAATTCTTATGATCTACCAATTCGTAGCTTCATTTTGACGAAACGCCTAACTTTTCTTACGGAAATTACAGCTAGTTGTAGTAAATAGAGGTTACACGTGTAAAATATCTCGAATGGGCGATTTACCTAACTTTGGTATTGTATTCAGCCCTTTTTATCGTCCCACTGCTGGGCACGGGCCTCCCTTCAGTACGAGGGGATTCAGGCCATAATCCACCACGCTGACCAAGTGCAGGTTGGCGGACTTCACATGTCTTTCGAAAACGTGCTAAGTTCTCTCAGAGGTGCAGATTTCCTCACGATGTTTTTCCTTCACCGTAAGGCAAGTGGTAATCATGTTAGAAATGATTCGCACATGAAAATATCAGAGGTGCGAGACCCGGGATTTGAACCCGCTTCACTCGGTTTCCCAAGCGATCGCGTTACCACTGGGCTACCACTGCCTATAACTTTGGTACTATAGTTATAATTAGTTAGTAATTTACTTAAAACATAAAAACTGTCTTAAGTGTTTACTTGACTATTTTGCCTGACCATTTACTTCTTACGCAGAGGCGTAGGTTTTATATTGATAAAGGATAGATTAAATGATGATACATTAAATTTGATATCAAGATAAGACTGTTTAAAATTTATGTTTATACCAAAATAATTACACATTTAATTATCGATGAAAAATTCTCAATTGACAAATCAAACTAAACTAATATTAATACATATAATATAATAATAACTAATAATAATACAGTTTATTGTAACAAAAAAATCCTATCAACTAAAACTAAAACGGATTATTAGGTCGAAATATTTATATCAATATCATGTGAAAGCTCGATTAGTACCTATATTACATGTAAATTGTATAAGCTTATTGATACGTAAAAAAACTACGAGCTTTTTTTTTAAATTAAGCTCTCGATATCAGTGAATATGGATGACAGTTAATTTAAAAAAGCATTCTGCGTCGTTGTTTTTGTACAGTGCGTATTCTGTACAGCCTTAGTAAAGTCTGACATTTAACCTCGGTCAGAGGTCAGCGCCAATGCTGTTCCCAGGGGCCGCTTGTCTATAGTATTATAAATAAATAATTTAACTCCTTGTTAGAGAGCTTAACAAGGTTTATTTTTACAGCAACACCTCAATGTTTTCATATATCTATATAAAATTTACTGAGCTATTTTAGCGGCTATTTTTCTATACATATAATAAAATTGTAACTAAGCCGAATCTGTAAATTAAATATTTATTCATTATTATTTACCGCGGGTAAATGTATTATTTCTGAGAAAAAATACAAAAACTGCAATGTAAGAGTATACTAATATGTAAAACTTAAGAATTTGGTTTTTGGTGACCTGAACACGGGCGGAGCCGCGGGAAATGCTAGTCTTCATATACAAGTGCATCAGTTTAATAATTATATGTTTAATAAAGGAATAAAGAGTATACTAGCATTGCATAATTGTATATTTAAAAATTGCAATAGGATCACTTTCTGAGTTTATATATTTTTTTATTCTAAAACCTTTATTGGGGTAATTACTGAACAAGACACCAATTAATTTAAATTTTACAAACTCTATATGATGTTTAAAATGCAAATTATAATGATCGTGGAAAAAAACACATTGAAAAAAGTTTACAAGAAAAATAAAGGGGAAAGAAAATCTACACATCGCTCGGAGCCAATAAAATCTCTAAATAAATTACGTAATTTTATTAGGTAATTATTAGTTTAGTTCAACTTCAAGCCTTCGACTCTCCTTCAAACAAAGTTTTAATTGTCTATTCTAGAAATATTCTATCGCTATTTTAAAAAAAATACTTACTTTAAAGTTATAAATTGAAATATTATTTTAATGATAGCAACCTTTTACAGCCAAGCAAAACATCAAACATCTTTTGGATTGAACTCCTATTTTTTTCTTACTAGCTTAGGAATCTCAAGTTTAAACATTTTTCTCAATATCTTACACCTTCTTATAACAGCTGGAACGGCTATAAAATTGAGCATTTATTTTCTTAAATATTTTTCTCCTTATTTTACTACTGTATATAGGGTATTTATATAGTCGAGCCGATCATTTTAAATGTTCCAATTTAGTACAGTGTACGTGAATATCACATAATATGTATATTGTATATCATTCAAACCTAAGGCGAATAAGATAAAACGTTTGATTTAACCAAAATTGTTAAATATATATGAAACTCTTTATTAAGGTTACAAACGCTGTGTTAAATTAGATCGTTAAATGGTAATTGTGGCATAAATCAACCTCAACTTCCCTCGACCGAAAGCCTCTCCTCAATATTTGGCTTCCAATATCTTCTATTTAAACTCTACTTAAAAGTATACTAAACATTATTATTTTGCTACTGCTATTTTACTATTGATGAAATATTTTACTACCGTTATGTATCCATACTCTATACATATAATAAAATTGTAACTAAGCCGAATCTGTACATTAAATATTTTTTGGAAAATCTTATTGAAATAAACATTATTATCGATACAGAGGCCGAATCTATACTTTTTAGAATTTTTGTCTGTCTGTCTGTCTATGTGTTACCGTATCACAGAAAAACCACTGGACGGATTTTGATGAAATTTGGTATGGTGATAGCTGGATATCCGGTTCAACATACAGGATACTTTTTACCGCTGGAAAATGTCTCATTTCCGAGAAAAAATACAAAAACTGCAATGTAAGAGTATACTAATATGTAAAATCTAAGAATTTGGTTTTTGGTTATCAGAACGCGGGCGGAGCCGCGGGCAATGCTAGTAATAATATAAATGTGAAACTTTGTGGAAGATGAATGGATGGATGTTTGTTGTTCTTTTACGACAGAACGGCGGAACGGATCTGGATGAAAAGCACAGAGATAGATTACAGTCTGGAATAGCACATAGGATACTTTTTATTCCGGCAAAATATACGGTTCCGTGGGATAGATTTGTTTTTGTTTTTCACTTAGGACGAATCCGAAGAAAAGCCAGGGTGAGTCGCCCATAGTGAGTGAGGGTGAGTCAGAGTGAGTTTTATAA